GCCTTGGTGACAAAAAAATATCATCTTAAGTTGATTTGCTTTGTTTCCGTCTCTTCTGTTATCTTTGCGCCTCCCATGCACCTCGTAGTGATGCAAGTGGTGCTGTGGAACGCCCCCGACTTTTTTAGCATTTTCTCTGTCATTTTTGTATCCGATGACCTTGTGGAAAGTCGGGGCCCAGTTTGTCAAAAAATTGTCAAAAAACAGTGCATTAATGATCCAAAAAAGTCTTATTTTTTGCTGTGTTTTCCAATGTTTTATGCACATTGCATTTCAAAGCCTTCGAATGCGAGATAACAAGATAAACCTCAAAAATTGCCTCTCGTGCAGGTAAAATGCAACTTTTTGAAGGTAAATAAGCTCAACACAAACCCACCCAAAGCAACTTTTTACTGTAAATTACAGTGTTTTTTGCACCTTCGAACCTGCCTCAAGACACCCCAAAAGTCTGCAAATCAAAACCTCGAACTTTCACCCCCCCCCCCCCCCCCCCCCCCCCCCCCACACCCTACGAACCCCCCAAACCGCCAAACCCACCCATCCCCGCCCCCCCCCCCCCCCCCCCCCCCTTCCCTTTCGGTAATACTTCCAAGCGCTACAGCGCTTTCCGTCATCAACCCACTGCAAATGACAATGATTGGAAAATGGTCTGTCTGTGACATGCAGAAACCAGTCACCTGAAAAAGGCAAACATCTGGTGTACCTACAATTTAGCTCGTTCGCCACGTGCACGGATGAGTCGAGTGGTGCTAGGCCAGGATACATCTCACCCCAGTGACTGATATCCAGCACAAACAAAGCAGATTCGGAACACTGGATCATTTGAATTCACTTGATATGATGTGCCTCCCAACACACTTCTGGAACCTTCATCCTCCATCCCAGATCTGATGCACTACGGCAACGGTACCCCTTTCTTCACATTGCTCCGTGCTCGTGCGCATGTCTGCCACTGCCTTCATGTCCGTGACACTGACTGCAGTGCTTGTGCCAGGCTTCAAGAACTCGGGGTTCTTGTCCTCCGAGCGTCGGTTGCGACGGCAAACGGAATGGATGAAGAATGCTCCTAGTAGCGATGCCAGGAGCCCCTAGTAGCGTCCTTGCTCCTAGTAGTAAGGCCAGGAGCCCCTAGTAGCTTCTTGTTCCTAGCGAAAAAGAACGATGACGACTGCTGTTTGGGGCTGCAAATGAGAGGGTCTTTGGTTGAAAACCGGAGAAAAACTGGATGGACCATGGTCCATGCACCACTGGTGAACCAATGGCGGTCGTGTTGGTTTGTGGTGAACGACCTCCAGCCAACATGGTGCGTTCCGAACAGCGGCAGCGTTTTAACAGCGATCTTGTCTTTCCAGCTTGTGGGTTGATTTGATTCAGCAACATGTCAACACTTGAAACTCGAGAAATCTATTAGCAACCCCCAAAAAGCATCCACCATCTATCAGAAGCTGATGCCCCCACAAACCCACATTGAGATATGCTTTTTCAAGGAGACCGCGGAAAAACGTCCGGGGACCGTGGGACACGTCGTGATCCGTGCAGGCTGGAGATCTCAAAACGACCGCCTACCAAGCAATTGTCGATGTTGCACAATCTGTAGTGGAACGCTTTTTGGAAGCACTTTCAGTGTTCAGCCAGAAAAAAAAACAGCTGGTCGCTCGCAACGTTCAGTGCCGAAACGAACACAGACGTACAGTAGTTCGATCGAAAGAACAAAAATGCACGAAACGGAGGAGATCCTCTGGCAAGTTCTTGTAGATGAACTGATCCTGGCAGACTCAGGCAGGCTCAAAAACGAATCCGGCTGCTGATGAAGATATAGGGTGTCAAATGAGCCCCTCATCTCTGCCTAGCTGAAAACAAGCTGGTTCCGATCACCAAAGCGATGCCAGGACGCCGTCACGCTGCCAACGTCCCCCCGGCCGAGATCGAGGTTGTTGGCCGCGAACTGGTCCGTTTTTTAAGCCGCCCCGACTCGTGGACAGTCCGCGGCCCACGCAGGCCACGGCACCTCCCACCCCTGGCCTCGCTACGAAGGGAGCGATCGGACGCTACGAGGACGGAGCTTGTTCGCCCACGGACGATCTGCGATGTGATGTTCGGGTGGCACGATGTCGACGGTGACCGGGTTCTTCGATCACAGCCACGCATGGGCCACACTTACCTCCTCGTGTTGTGAAGTCGTTTGTCCTTCAGGAAACTTAAACATTAATCTATGAGCCATACATATGGAAAAAACAATTGAAGAATTTGAGGTTAAACCTTCATGTCAAAATCTGTTGCATAAAGATTTTTCGGGGAGTGCTGCGCGAGTCGCAGCAATCCAGATCCACGTCCAGCCTAAAAAACTTCTGCCGATTCAATCTACGAAAAGGATGGTTATCTATAATATAAACACATGTTGCAGGGATAACCAAGTTCAATAAAAGTATATCGAGACACAAATCCTTTCCAGGCCAAAATTGAAATCTTCCAGATGACCTACAAGACCTAACGACTCAACCCGGTACCCAGTAAGGTGTGGGCGTCCCGCCAGGAGCCCATCTCTTCGTGGCAGACCCAAGTCCTCCAGCCCAGCTGAGCGGCTCATCCCAGCCCGTGCCTTGTGATACTTCATCTCTTTTGACCACATGTACTGCGCCTGACCCCCAACCGTGGGAACGGCGGAAAATGAAAAAAAGAAACACCCTGCAAGGAGGTCAATGCTTTTTTTCGAAGCTCGGTGTCCGGTTGCCAGAGATCATGGGATTCACTTCTTTCTGACACCCTGTGCTTCTAGTGATCATGTTTGCATCACTGGAAAGGTCTCATTGATGATCTGGAATCTGGAGTTCATGATAATTCATGAAACGTTTGCATCTCCTCTGACCATGGTGGTCCACGCACGGTACATAGACTGTGGATGCTTCTGGAGAATCCCAGTGGGTGGGAAGCTGTGGACATGCTCCCCAAAAAAATTAAACATTCAAACGACCCTGAAAAACCTTTGTTAAATCACTATTTTGATACTAATCTTGAAATGCAGTGGGCGCGTCATCTCAGTGTGCGGCTTCATCATCCAGCCAGCCCCATGCAGGATGTTCCGCATTCCGCCTGGTAATAGTCGTCCTCATGCTCCAACACTTGGAATTCCCCATGGCAGGGCAGGCCCAACCAACATCCTTGAAGCCGCTCGCAGCACGACGAGCAGCGCGAGCAGCGCATGTCTTTGCTCGCGCGAAGCCGCAATTCCCGAGCAAGACAGTATGGAGTCGGAAGCCTCTTAAAAGAGATGGTCTGCAAAGCACTTCATCCTTTGATGGATGCATTCTGGAAAGGATATCACTGGCCACTAGCCTAAGAATATACACACACGTTGTTTGGAAAAATGCTAGAAACAAGCGGATTTAAAATAACAGGTTCATTCCCGCTCTTGCCCAGAGGAGTTGGTCACACGTAGTCACAACATTAAAACAAAAAGACATAGACCTCTGATACATCTGATACGTAGGATTGGACATCAACTTGATAGAACCTGAACTCTGGTCAGAGAAACCTCCAACTTCAGTGGCCCAAGGGCCCCAAATCACCTGAACCGGCGTGGAATGGGCCCTGCACGTGATATCTGCTCCGCCACGGTGTGTCCCCTTTCTTTGGCCAAGGTGCGAATCCATACGGAGAGGGGGAAGACTAACCTGGGAAGCCGGTGAGGTCAAGGCCGCTCGCCGCAAAGCAGACGGGCGGCGAAGCGTCCGGAGGATGGACCTTCGGTCTCTTGGAAACGATGTGCTTTCATGTGGAGGTCTCCAACAAAGATGGATGAAAATGGACGAAAATGGACCGGAAGACTCAGCCCTCCTCTGCGCAGGGCCTGAAGATAAAAGCCCTTGCCGGCCACTCGTTTTCAGTCTCACTCGCTTTGAGGTCGCCCGGCGAGAAAATCGATGAGGTGACGATGGAAATGATGAACTGCGAAAGCACCTCGGTTGGGGTCTGGACAAAACTCGCCTAGCGCTGAAAGGATGTGGCACCAAAAAGACCAAAAGGTGTTCGATTTTACTGAGCAGGTTCTTCCGGTACTGCAAGGGTGTAAAGTTCTTCCTAGCAACTTTGTTTCACTTCGGGGGTCACCCCTGGACCAATCACCAGATCCTTCAGAGACACAACACCTCTGCCTCATCCTCCCCTTCATGTGTGGGAAGCTTCTCTTCCGAGGCTTCCAGCCTCGCAATGGCACCTCCCTCTGGTGCTCAAGGGAAGCTGAAACCATGTGACCAAGCCTGCTGTCTTCTCATCAGGTGACCAAGCAGACCTCTGACCAAGCTCTGGTGACCCATCTCATCGCCCTCGCGCCACCCTCGGATCTCATCGCCCTCTCTCCCCCGCTGAGGACACCCACTGCATTCTGGCGGAGCGAACACGGTTTGAGGCGAACCGATTCGGAGAAGGACATCGATTCGGGGGTCGTCTAGGCGAATCGATGGATGCCTGATGCACATCGCCAAAAGCTTGGCAAAATCGAAGTCCCTGGACACACAACCAGGCAAGTCCCTGGACTTGGAGGGATGTGACCTGCTGATTGTGGTGTAGGATGTCCTTTGGCCAAGGAATGAAGAACTAAGGAATGCAGGAACCTGTTGAACATGTGAAGCCTCAAAAGTCCAATTTAGGCCACAGTCTGACAGTGTCCAATCCAAAACGGGTGAAGCAAATTGAAGAACAACTTTCTCAGTTCATTGTTCATACAGTTACCTGCAAAGTATCTTATATAAATGAATCTTATGTGACTTTCTAGTCACTCTCTCTCACACACACACTCTCTCTCTCTCCCTCTCCTGGTGTTTACCCTGAAGTAGCCTTTGGGGGGTCTCCATCTATTTTCTCCTGTGGGCAGTGTCTATGTTTTGTTGAGCGGATGATAAACAGGTTGTGTATCAACATGTATAAACATAGATTGTATAACGAGAGTATCCCCTCTGTGTTGAATCCGAACACGTGGTTGACCTTTGTCATCACCTCATGTCATCTCCCACCATGACCTTTGCATCAATTCCCAGTTCCTCTTGTCAACACACTTTGGTTGCATGACCTTACAGTCGGGGCGCTTGACTTTGACACTTCAGGATTCACCATTCCCTCCCTCCGAGAAGCAGCTGAAAAACCAGTCTACCATGTCCCGTGCCGCGCAGTGCCTTGTCTGAAAAGGAAGGCGTCAGAAAAATGAAGAAGGAGACCGAAAGGCCAATAGGACCCACCAGCTTCACAAACCTTGGGAGAGTTGCACGACGGCCGTGCACCGGAGGTGTTTTGGACACAGCCCAAGTCGCATGGGTGGTCCTTTTTCAGGCCAAATGATACACAAAGTGTTCCACGTGGCCAAGCCCTGTCTGCGTTGCAGGTGGAGTGGATGTATGCTGGTTAAGCCCAACTAGCAAGAAGCAACTCTCTCCCTCTCTCTCTCTCTCTCTCTCTGCAAGCTAAACATCCGTCTGGCGGTCAGTTTTCCGCATGTCATTCTCTCTCTCTCTCTCTCTCTCTCTCTCTCCACCACGTGGCTTTTTCTCTATCCGGTAGTGACTCCGTGTCCGCACCTCACGAAGAAGTTGGCGATGTCCGCGTTCAATGGTCTCTTGGGCCTGGGCCAAGTCAGCGTTCGATCCGCTCGAGCCCAAAAGCACGGGTCAGAAGCGACTGGAGGTTCACAGATCAAAGCAAAGGGAGCCAGGATGTAAAGGATCTCAAATGACCTCACAACAAGTCGCGTTTGAGGTTGTCCTGGTCTGTAGTCTGTAGCCCATAATTAAAAACAAGCAGAATGGCAAAAAGGGGACAGCGTTTATGAATCAGGAACCCAAGCTGAAAACAGCATGCTGTCCGTTTGAATCAGAAATGGAACAACTCTTGAGCACAAAACTGTCATAGATGATGCTCCTTAGGCATGGTGCTAAGTGGAACACTGACTTGTTTTCCAGGCAAAAAAGTGCCCCGTGCCCCAGTGCCCCAGTGCCCTCGCACTCCTGGAAAACCAGCCCAGCAGGAGGTACTTGTCCATCCAATATTGAAAACCTCGGCCACCAAAAGCACACGCACCCAGCCGTCCGGCCCGGGATCCAATGCCCAGGCAGTCTATGCGAGCTTGCATTGGGCTGTCTCAATGAGAAGGATCAAATCGTTCAGAAGGAAAGAACTACAGGACATATCAGGATTGGTCTGGACAGAATTTGAATGTTCGCACGGAAGAAATATGATTGATTGCTGGTTGCTAGTTGTGACAAACCACATCAACCACCCAGAAAAGTATGCAGTTACATTGGCATGGTCTTTCCAAGTCAAGAATCATCCACCCCCCCACCAAAATGAGCAATCGGAGCTTGGGTGAAGCCTGACTCCAGCCATCTATACAGGCATAGCAGCTCAATCTATGGGCTTCACGTCGACCGTATGGCAACCCTTCACAACGACGCCGGGTCCGAACGGCGGTCCACCAGTCACGATCCCCTGAGAGTCATGACTCATGACCCATTTGACCCGGGACTGGTAGTGGATGAAGTGGTGCATGATGACTTCCAGGTGGATGAGTCCATGAGACAAAACAGAAGTTCTGAGGGATGCTGGATGATTCCACAACATCCTGACTAGACCGTGAATGGACCTTCGCTCTTCCATCACGTGCGGGGTTGTTCCAAGTCTGAAAGTGGCTCTTGTGTCATCGCTGTGGTGATCTTCGTTTAAAGCTCAAAGGTACATCACCTCAAAACCTGGTTGCCGATTTTGCGGAAGCTGCGTGGACATTCAAAGCACAAGGCTCTCACAGAGACCAACGAGGCCCACCAAGGAAATCATGGGGAAGACTGGCTCGTAGAGCCTCAGAAATAGCAGCTTGACTTCGTGCAGCTTGCTGGACATGGAAACGATCTCGGATGTGTTTGTGGTGCCGCCATCAAGCTACCAAAGGTGATTCGCGTACTGGTATGCCTTCAAAATCGCAAACATGTGAAATTCCAGATTCTCGAGGACAGGCGAAACAGGGCCCATTGGATCTGCTGTCAACCAACGCGGTGGTATCAGTGAACATGTCCGCTTTTTCAGCAAGCATCCAGGAACTACAGTAATAGATTCATCAGCCAAGACCCACCGAAGACACATTTTCAGGCACAACTTCACATCCTTCACATGTCGCATGGGGGTCGGTTTTCCGACTTTCTGTATTGTTTGGGTCCGCCTCCCAATCACATCCCGCCCTTTTGCATCCGTTCTTCACCCTGAAGAGACTGTTTCCGCCAACCGGTGTCTTCGCGTCGCCCATCTAGTTGGGGGACCTGAAAAATGACTGGCTCGCTCGCCGTCCGATTCTCCTCAGCGAACCGTCAGGGCATTCAGAAGTTCGTTCCCCTTAAAGCCTTAGGCAGTTGGACTGAGCGAACCGTCTCGGCGAACCCTTGGCGGTTCGGATTCTGGGAGAGTCAAGGGGCAAGCAACACACGAAGGTCTTGATGGCAGTGGCATAACGCCTAGCAAGTGGCCGGGCAAAGGGACAAATCCAGGATCTAAAACACTAAGACTGGACAAAGTGTGTCCATGCTCAGCCTCTGCTTCCAGCCAAGCTGCCGCAGAATCTGTCTAAAGACCTATATACTGTATATAGATTCAAGAATTGTTGTTTTCCTATTGTATAAACCTGCTATTGTATAAACCTGCTATTGTATAACAAGCTCATAAAGGCTACCCGTCATAAGGCCTCGCCCCACCCCATGTCATTACGGCGTATGTATAGCTGCCTTCTGGGCATTACATTTCAGGAGGCTATCTTGTTGTGAAACCATGCTGCGTCGCTCTGGCACTCCACCTGTGAATTGAAACTCTCTGATGGAACATGCCTAACCAAACCAGCAAGTCCACTTCAGGTCCTCTGAAGCGACCGAGCCGGTGAATAAGGAAGAGGAGGTGAAAAAAAGAAAGGAAGGAAGAAGAAACTTTGCCTGAAAAGCCCGAACAATTGTCTGGAACAGAACTTGAGGAAGAAAAGTACGAAGTAGAGTTCGACTCAGCTAGCAACCGTTTTCACTCATGCTTAAAACTCAACACCCTGCAACAGAATCTAGATGTCTGCGCACCAATGGCAAACTAAGATTCCAGTGGTTGTAGAGATCTCCCTATTGCAAATGCAGAAATCGCAGTGTTTCATCCTATCCAATTCCGATTCAGTCTTGGACGCCATTCAGATCGAGCCTGGTGGGGTTCATGCTCCCAGGCGCATGCGCCTTGGACAGCCAAACTGAACAGGACTGTCCAACTCAGTTCAACTTTGGTGGATTGAGAGTAGATGGCACAATCCCCAAAAGGATGTTTATAGGGACCTCCATTAAAGAGACTTGGGACTTGTGCCGTCCATTGTGCCGTCCCTTTGGGACTTCCCCAAAGCCCCCAAAGCCACCATGATACAGGAAAAGAAAACAGGCTGCAAGGCGGCCATCAAAAACCATCCATCCAGGTTAGCGACTCTCCCCTCCCCCATCCGTTGGTGGTGACACCAGCGCATTCTCAGCTCAAGGGGCCCTCTTGAAGGCTTCGATCTCCGCCTTCACCGCCTTCAGCTCCTCAGTGGACCCGAGGAGCTAAGACGGCGAGAGTCTACCAGACGGTCGCAGCAGAAGGACCCGGTAGGCCCGAAATCTCAACGGTTCAGCGGTTCATTGGTTTGGCATACGTGTGCTCATCTGTCCTTCATGAGTACTATTGTAACAATGCTCTTTAAGAAAAACACATATATATAATATACAATATATAATATATATATACAGTAATATATAGTATATAGAACTCTTGCACGCCACTTGGCTCAGTGGTTGTCCATTCGTAAGTTTCGATGCACATTCTCGAGGGTTCATTAGTTTGTCTGAGCTTGGAAGGGTAAACATCCCAGTGGGTCTGAAAGCATCAAGACAAAATCTAGCTAAAGAATGCTAAAGACAACTGAAGCAATACCGGCAATACCGGACCAGAAACCTGTATCTCCAACCATAAACCCACAAACGTGTTTCTCCTTGTCTCCCCAGCTCCAATGGTTCAAAGTGCCCAGCCCAGCCCACATGTTCCACTCCACTCCAAGACTCACCATGAAGAACAAGCAAAACCCAAGACAACGCCAAACGACTCACGTCTCCGCAACTGTCTCCGCACGCACGCACCGTCTCGTGTCTCCCGACGCTCGACTCACGTCTCGTCGGACTCGTCCGCCCACGGGAGCACCGAAGGGCTCGCCGCCCGGCCGAGGCGCGTCTTGCTGCTCCTTGTCTTTGGGGTTCGGTCCGCGCCTCGAAACGTGAAGGGGTGAAGGCAACGATGGAAAGAAAAATCGCACCCAGGCGGGTCTGTCAAGGGGTGTTTCGTTCGGAGCAGATGCGCCATCGCAACAGTGAAACAGAGAAGACCTGGTTCTGAGGAAAAACCATGGTTCCAGTCCAATGAATGTCTAATGAAGACGCCCCATGGGTCGCCCAAAAGCTCCGCCACGGACTTCAGCTGAGCGGCCCAAGGACTTCATTGAAGTAAGGCAGCCGCGCCTGGCGGCGAGACCCGTCCAGGCACCCTGTTGGCTTGTTACCCTCCCTCCAGCAAGAACTGGAAGTGGAACCCATGGCTTTCAGCTCCTATTGTGTCTAGGCAAAGAGATGCAAAGAGTGAAACCGGGGCCATGCCATAAACCATGCTTGTTGCACAGAGGATGATAGAGAAAGAATATCAGGGATCCCTATGTTGCATTGTTTTGCTATCATCCACTGTACTTCTCTCTCTCTCTCTTCAAAGGGGGATTCCAGTGCATGCAGTGGATCTGGCTCAAAGTCACCCCTCGCCCTAGGAGGGTGATGTGTGCACCCGAAGAAGACCCAAACATTGTCTTCGCTGGTTTGATCTGGTTTGTGGAACATTTGTCTTCAGATTCTGGGATCATTTACTGGTCGACCAAAAGGAAGGCACACAGGACTCCGTGCGCGGAAGCGCAGGCTCTGGTCCAGTTCCTCCCTGAGAAGACAATACTTGGGATGCACGTCAAAAGTAAGACATCAACGAAGCCACTGAGGCATGCAGGCTTTCAAAGGCAGAGACAAGGTAGGAATGGAGGGAGGGAGGGAGGGAGGGAGGTAGGTCAACATATTGCACGAAACAATGTGCTCTGCTATGCTCAGACGTAGTGCAACTGGAATTGCCAGTTCAATCGTCGTTTGGTCCGCAATGCCTAGCGTGCTTGTGTGCCCGTTGGCCTACTCCCTCTCATCGCTACTAGTAACAAGTGCATCGCTACTAGGAACAAGTGCATCGCTACTAGTAGCTAGAAGCTACTAGTAACAAAATTTTCCAATTTTCTCCTCCCCTTGTTAATGCACTTGTTCCTAGTAGCGATGCACTTGTTACTAGTAGCAAAGCCCGAGTCACTGTCTCCCTCACTCTCATCCCCCTTTTTCTCACACCTCGAGCTTGCTCCGCTGCGTTTTTCGGATCTGGTAGCCTGGGCCGTCCGAGTTCGCGACTCGTCGTCCCCGCGTTCTTCGTAGCCGTCCCGTCCCGTCCACCACTGAGGCCGAGACCGAAATCGCAGTAGGGGATGATCGGAGGGATGATGGCATTGATCAGCAGCATCGTGAAGGCGCCATTCACCAGACCTTTCTCGCATGGACCACATGGACTAAGGTCTTCTTAAATGGAATGCATATGAATCCATGTTCACCTCTGGTGAGTCTAGGTTGGAAGATCTTGAAAGGGCCTGTCTTCAGGCTCTTCAGGTACCTTCAGAATCTTGGCGATTGAAGAAGTAGCCCACCTCGCCCTACACATTTGCATGCTCAATGCACTTTGAAGTCTATGGTGAAGTTGGAGCCCATGGGTGGTGAATGAAAGATGGATGAATGTATAGGTGACCTGCTCATCCCCAAGCTGGAACCCCAAGGTATATTATCCATTTGAGTGACCTCATGACCTTCTATCGGGTCACAGCGACGGTGCCTCCACCCGCTGGGCTGGCCCGGCCTCCATCTTGATACCATTCCTTGGGTGTGGCATAGATGAAGTAGAGAACACCCGCAGTGTTCACCACCCTCGGCGGTGTGCATACGACTTGGAGAGACGTCGAGGCATGTCTTGGAGAGAAAACGACTTGGAGACGTGGGTCAAGCGTTGACGCTTGTCGTGAAGTGGGATACCAGGATGACCCTTCCCAAGTAGGGATAAAAACACCATATGTTCCATAACTCCCATGAACAGCCCATGAACGGCCAGTCGGATGAAAACATCACAGCCGGCGGCCTACCTTGTGGCGCTCAATCATTGCTTCGAAGAGAAGTGAGAGCTTCTAGGTCCCCAAGTTGTGTCGCTCCGATGATTGCCATCATACGTGTCCTCTTAAAACACGGATCCAAAGTTATTGGAGGTGCGAGGGTATCCATGCCATCAACGTTGATCAAAAAAGATCAGAAACGGAATGCTGGAGAACTGTAGGTTTGGTGGAAAATGCGTGTTGAACATGCATGTTCAAGAAGAAGGAATGAGATCTTGCGGTGAGAACCGACCTCTTTCTTTGGCAGGCCCTCACACATCGCTCACAAGGTTTTGCATTGGAGATTGCTGTCATCTTGCACCGGGATACCAGTGTGGCCCGGGGAAAAAACGTGGGAGAAAACCTCTTGCTGCTTCCAGGAGTCATCCCGACGGACATTTTGGCAGCCTGAGAAAACTCCTGCTCCGTCAAGGTGTCGTGAAATTCCTGTCGCCGAGTGGAGAAAGAGAGCCCCCAAAACAAGGCCAGCGAAGCCTAAGGTGGAGGACCGCAGCTACAAATTCTGTCAAAGGACATTGCTTCCGAGCATGTACACCGAACTTTTAGTGACTCATGTTGGACGTTCAGCATCTCATCTATATATCGGAAAATCTGGCCACTGCTTAATGAAAGCCATGCCATTTTAATGACTTCGTCTTCACCCACTTCATAAGGGACTTCGTAAGGGGACCACTTGTGCCATCACATGCGGACTTCCCCAGGCAACCCACCACAGCAATCCACATCAACCCACGACCACACGGGGCCGGGCAAAACCGATCCCAGCGGCGAGGTACTGAAGGAGGTACCACACGGGACGGCAAGTGCTCTTTAGACTGTAAGAAGAACCAAAGACCAAGGCGTACTGGATCGGAATGTCTCCGCTGCCGTCATGCTGGGTGATACAGTACATGCTTCCGTGCTGCATATCTGTTGGTGTGTGGCATCCCGGTCCTTGTCACCCAGCATCCTGGCAGCGGCCATCAGCAAGCCATTCACCACCTGGGCATTTGGGCAACGGCCAGCGTTCGCACGGAAACCCTTGGGAGTGGAAACACCATTGGTTTGGGTCCTGGCGTCGTCACAACCCAACATACCTTTGGTCACCTCCAAATCTGCTTCGAAAAAGGGCAACATCTGCTTCATAAAAGGGTTACCTCATCATAAAGCCACTAAAAATATTCCCCTTCGAAATTCGCACTCACACCCGGACTGTCAATTCTTTAGGAACCCCCAGGTTCAGGGTCCAGAAGTGGCACTAAAAAATCAAGGACATTCTCTCTAAAGAATCAATAGCCAGAATGCCTCTGCTAAAGAATTGGAGACTTGAGAAAAGGCCAAAAGGCCTAAAGAATCAGACAGTCCGGGTTCGAGTGGAACAAAGTCGACTCATGCATGTGTTTCTTCATGACTTGCAGAAAATGTTTCTTCGTGCTCTCTGCATCTGTGGGTTGAGCCCGTGCTTGGATTTGCAAATTTGGCTTTGCAAAGACGCTTTCCTCTAAAAAATCAGCACCAATCTCGAGGTATTGCTCGACAACCAAATTCTCTAATAAATCAATCACCTCTTGCCCTTATAGAAAATGGGAACCCCCAGGTTCCAGTTGTAGACTGGCACTGTATGTTTTCACCCGTTTTCATTTTTTATGACAACCCGGGTTGTCTGATTTTGTTAGATGAAATTCGCACAGGAATCTAAAAATCATAAATTCCCTTGCCGCCCCTTCTTCAGCACCCCCACGTCACACACGTCCTCCTCGCTTCGTTTCGCTCCTCTCTCTCTTCACCATTCTTCACCATTCTTTACAGCTCTCAGGCGTTTGAAAACGACTCTCGGGCCAGCGGCAGCCACCACAAGGGCAGGCAACAGCGACAGCCAAACGCCTCCGGAGCCTCGCCGGAAAGCGGGTGTTCTTGCGCGCGGTCCGAAGGGGGCAGAGGAGAAGACAGGAAGACAGGAGGCCGGTGGATGGGAGGAAGGACTGCTGAGGCAAAGAAGGCGGACCTTTCTCTTCCATGGCGCCAAAACGAGGGGGGGATTGGCCTGAAATGGGTAATCAAACGCGAAACTTAAGAGGTTGAGGGTTGTTGTGATCCTGGGCTTCTCGTGGTTTGATTCCAGAAACCCAATGAGTCAAGATCTGAACAAACTCTCCAAACTCTCCAACAACCCCATCCAATTCATTTTGGTGTGTGACCCTGTGGAAGAATCAAAAAAATCAAAACCCCACTGGTTGGGGATCTCCTCTTAAAATACACACATCCCATTGCGGCGATCCATAGCTCCAAAACAACAAAAGCTCGAGAATCAAACGCGTCCCGGGGCAAAAGAGCCGTCTTCGCTCCTCCTTCGACGTACCACGCCCTTCGTCTTCGTGGCTCGGTCCGGCGCCGAAGCGCGTGGACACGCGCCGGACCGCGGCCCCCCCCTCGTCGCCTGCGGATTCTTTGACCGCCATGGAGGCCTCGATTTTGAGAATGCAGAGGAGCTCAGAGGTTTCAATCTCTGGTGAGGACATCAAACCGAACGAATGATGGGGGTTGTGAACGAATATATTGATATTGGTAAGTTAAGTTCATGTAAGTTCCAGCTTGTTGTTGAATGTTAATTGAAAGAACTGGGGCTGGGGAGGGGGCTCGCCAGTCTTACTGGGGGCAATCTTAGACTCCAAGAGGTAAGCTCAGTCCAAAATCATGACTTCGGAGCAGTTGAGGCCTTCAGGCCATCCCTCAGTCAAGCCAACTACGGGCAAAAAGACCGGGGCTAAAACCTACCGGGCCAAATGGAACCCTCCGTTGGGAAACCACCACAAACATCGAATTGTTTCAAACCACCAACCATTCTCAAGTGTAAGACAGAATCCCGAGCAAACCCACAGACTGCAGGCAGGCCCCCCGGCCACGCGGAGGCCGTAGACCGCGCCGAAGCAGGCGGCGATCAGCAGGAACATCACGCCGTTGGTGATGGCCAACCTCCAAAGGATGAGGTAAGGCCATGGGGTTAAAAGACCCAAAAGTATCCAAAAGTAGGGGTTTAGGGTCTACTCCTTTTGTTTCAGGTGCGCAGTATGAGGTTTGGGGTTGCACCAAGCTACCTTCTCTGATTGCTACATTGGCATGCTTTTTTATTTCGCTTATTAGCAAGGATGAAGAATAATGAAGGCACCTATTAGATCCTGTTGGGCTCCATCTCATCTCCTCCAAACCGGACATGTGCAACCAAAATCTGGTAGACAAAGTGATCATCTTCCGATCCTCCTCACCTTTTCTACACCATCAACCTGCATTCTTCGCTCCCTTTCCGACCTGCTCGTCCCAGTGCGCATGGCTCGAGGCTCCAGTTCCTCCCCGTGGCGCTTCCGGCCTCTTGATGCGCTCGCTCTGCGGCACCGCCAGCTCCGCCCAGTGGATGTCCCCAGGGTTGGCCGCCCGGGCCTGGTGGCACGAGGTGCTCCCAGAAGGGTCCCGGTGCAGAGCGGGGGCGTGGGGGGTGTTGAGGCAGGGAGCTGATCTTCGTAGAATGTATAAAGGAGGAGGAGGAGAAGGAGGAGTAGTAGCAGCAGTAGTCGTTGTTGTGGTGCTGCTGCTGGTGCTGGTACTGGTGATCGTATTACTAGTATATAGAAGAAACAGAACAGTAGGGAGCAGCTTTGCTTGCTTAGCAGGTTGTTGTTGCAGAGATTCAACTAAGGATCCAAATTGTTAAAAACATGGGGTCATGACTCCTCGTTTGAAAGTCCAGTTACACAGCCTCCACTTGGGTCTGACCCTTTCAAAAGACTCCTCGAATCCACTGGACTTGACATCCCATCTCAGAAAATCTCTCATGAATGTTTAAAAGATGCCGCCATTTCAGTCAAGATGCCACAGTCAACTTGGCAATCCTCAGGGCGCGGAGGCTGAGAACTTGCAGAAGCGCTTGCTTGGGGCTGAGCTTTCCCAAGAAATGTCGACAGTGGCAGCAAACTGACAAAATGAGTCAAAAGAAAAGATCTCCCTAAAAGCGCTTGGCAAGAAAGCCGTAGTGATTGTGATTTATGTGCCAAGAAAAAAGTCGTGGTGTATAAAGTCACCTTTGGAGGTTGATCCCTTGCGGGAGAGCTGACTGAGTCAGACAAGAAGAATCCTCCATAGAAAAGGCCCCAAACAAAGGACAACGCTCCAAAACCACCTGACAGCTCAAGTGTTCAGACCCAGCGGCGGTCGGCCGCCAATCGGAAAGCGTGGCAGGGCGGCGCCCTGGCACCCACATCATGGGTTGTGGCCAGTGACATGGACTGGAGTCTCACAAAGCTAGGAAATCAATGGAGTCGTCTGTTCATTTACCCATCTCACCGGATGTCTCCGACAGCTACACCTTCCAAAAGGCCGGTGAATCAGACCGCGCGCGCGTGCCTTGCACAGACCATTGTTCCTCAGCGCGAAGCGTCGCACGGAATTGGAGTGCGATAAGATGCGTGGTTCTCAGGGCGAAAACCGAACACGTCCCCAAGTTCATGTGATCGGCCACTCAGAGTGACTCAGGGGCCCGCGTGCCGCAGCATCACAAGCAGGGTGGAGAACCGGGTTTCACCCCCTACCGAAGCATCAGAATTGATCAGAATTCCGTCAATGCTCGAATCTCCTTTGGGTTAGTCATGGAATCCTAGAACGATTGGTTCCCCCGGAAGTGGTAGAGGGCCACGATGCTTGAAGTACTCTCAAGAAGTACATCCCCCACAAGAGCTTGGATGAATTTGTGTGCCACAAACCAATTCCCATCCAAATTCGCAGGTTGGCCCCGGTTGGCCATATGCAAATCGCTTGGGATTCCATCTCATCCTCGACCGATGTGACCCAAATCGCCCAAGGCTCTTCCAAAGGAGTCCGATGTTCTCCGATTCACAGTTGAACCATTTGGCCCAAAAGGAATCCCACCTCAGCCATTCTGGCGACGCCCGCCCTGGCTTTCGATGGCGAGAACAAAGCTTGGGAATCTAAGCGAGGAGATAGGTCAACTACCGTGGTCCGTTTAGTGCAATACACCCAGCTTTGTCAAGGCACTTTCGCAAGCATGCGCGCATGTCACTCTGATAGCGGAAGAGCACCACCACCACGCCACTCGAGCGGAGTTTGGTATCCTGCACAGAGAAACTGTGAACAGGTCATTCTGACACTAGGGTGACTCTTACAAGCATCAAAACAGAAAACTGCAAGGATGTTTTTGTAACTACACTGGTGTCATCTAGCAACCCCAACCCCGCCAGGCCTAATAGATTCCGTTGACAGAGGGTCAGTTTGTTAAACCTGAGGGAAGGTCTTTTCTGCTCCATGTACAGGGCCCTCGGATCCAAAAGAACACGATCAGCGCATCTCTTGATCTGTTCATCCATGTAGCCTATGGATATATGGATGAAGAATATTATGGATTCTGGATGTATATATATATATATTATATATATATATATATGTATATACAGTATATACATGTATACATACGAGGGTAATGTTATATCATTAATCATAAGATCCAAATATATCGGTCTTAAATCCATTAAGATCTCAATTAGGCATGCATCATATGCACCGAGGGAGTGGATGAAAATCTGCAGAAACACACCAATCCATTGGAATCCTTGCACTGTCGGGTATCGTCAAAACCAGCTGTGACGAGACGTGAGCAGCGCCCAAGTGTGAGCAGGACACTTCTGTCGGGTGAGAAACCCCTTCTGGCATGAAGCAACAAAAATAACAACGATGGGAAATCACAGGAGATCTCCGAAGCAATTCATGATGGCTCCGACGTACTTATACTGTCGCCCTATGTATTGTCATCACACTGAAATCATCGCACGATCTTCATGTATTTAATCAAGCGGGATGTGCTCAGCAGTGGGCTTCTGTGCATGACACTTGCACCATCAATTCACCTATTTCATGGGTCCAGGCTTTTTCATATCCCCCACCTTTTCAACACCGTCTCATCCGCAGCCCAACCGGGACCCGCCGGCGGACCCGCCCCCCGACCGGACCCGCGGACGCGCGCTCCTTGGTGCCCGCGGACTTGAGAGCACCGGTGATCTGGACCATTTCTTTCTGCGAACGCAGCGGAAAGGGCGAAGACGAGGTCGAAATGGGAGAAGTGAGGACTTGCAGGTGAGAAGACCAACATTTGCCACATTTGGCATGAAGAAGTGCACTGGGGTCATACTGTGGATGCTAACAAAGGTGTTAGACAGAATAAAAGCTACATCATGCCACATTGCCTTTGCTTGGTCTTTTTCAGGTTCATTGGGGTACCCCATCCACAAAATAGAATTACATATATTACCAGTGGGGTCTGTCACCGTCATGACAAAAAGGGTTGTACAGTAAACTGACTTCGGTAGATCCGAGTCCAGCAACATTAAACAAAACGCATGATGAAGCTGCGACATGCTGCAGTGATGTAGCGCTACTAGTAGGCATCCTTGCTCCTAGTAGCGATGTCCTTGGTTACGACGAGTAGTAGGCGTCCTTGCTCCTAGTAGTACGGCCAGGAGCCCCTCAGCTTGGTTGCAATCCGCCACGAAGTCTGGGACCTCGATGACCCAACGGAGCTCCGCGTCGTGCGGACCCGCCTGGATGTCTTTGGCCTCCAAGCGGACCCCGGTTTTTTCCCCAGGAAACTGGAGTGGAATGAACATGAACGAGCCGAGTGTGAGTGTTTGATAGAAGAATGGGGTCTTGCGTGGTGCTAAGGGGTACCGGGCCAATGACCCATGCAGTTTGATCAGCACTGAAAGGCTGGACAGATCGGGGACGGTATGGGCGACACAGCTGTGCCGCTGCATGATGCCTTGGGTATGTCGGTGACATGAAGAACAAGAAGCGACTCAGCAGCATCTATGCTGAAAACCATCAGGTTCACGCTGTGGATTCTCATATTGCCCTGAATTAATTGTCAAAGGGCATTCTGGAACACCTGGCAAACTCTAATACAGTTGACGTGTCCAAAACGGTCTCAGATTTCATAGTTTGATTCCAATGTTCTGTGTGCACTGCGTAGATGTTCAAGCGGCCAGAAGGGTGCGCTGGCGCAAGAGAATCAAAGTGTCAGAAACCCTGGCTCCCGACTCGACCAGGTTCCGCTCCTTCGCCTGGCACTCCCTTCCCATTCCGCGTACCTCACCGCGTCCCCTTCGTCGCGCGGAACGGTCACTGGTCCGCGCGGCCGGCCGGCGCAGCCGGTCGCGGCACGGTCACTGCCTCGGGAGTGGTCCGATCTGTCTGGTCCAGCTTCTTCTTGAGCTCCTGAGTCGAGGTCTCCGAGTCGGTCAGCGGATGTTTCGCACCGGTCGATGTTTCGCATCAGGGGTTTTTTGACCACCCTGAGGCCTCTGAAAGCCTTGTCTGGAGCCTGGAGGGTCGAAAACAAGTGGCCTTGAGAGCGCAAGTCAGGTGTTCTTGGGGTGCGCAGCGCTCTCTGGTGATTCATCTGCTCCACCCCTCGAGTCCGCACACCACTCGAGTCAGGGCGCGCGGAGCGCGCTCCTTGAGCCGGGCAATGTTCTCTCGCCACTCCTCCACGTCCCAGCCGATGACCACCTCGTTGCGGTGCTCCAGAGCTGTCTGGTGGCCAAAGACCGTCACAAACTGCTCAAGTGTTCTTTTCCGCTCAAGTGGTCAGACCTGCCATCTTCAGTAAAGAAACCTGCCAAGGTCCGACGTGGAACCCAACCCCCAGATCCCCAGCTCCCCAGAACGTCACACGTGAAGACGTCTGAAGACGTGAACGGATTTGGCGTCAACCTCTTCCACCCGCACGCCATGCAGCACGCCCTGCCTCTTGCCTCTTCACCGAGAGACGACGGAGACGACGAACCGGCCGTGTCGACCACCCGAAGCGATCGTTGAGGAGCGGGTCAGGTGTTCAGAGAACCTGGAAACAGGGTCCACCATCGTTGGTGATATCCAGCAGTGTTGGCTCTCCAACAGGCTCAGGGGGAAAGCCAGTGGGCTCCGGCTATGTCACGACGTTGTGAGAAAGTGGATGTTAAACTCTATTTAATCTATTTGGGTTGCACGGCCAAGTTTACAAACCGCAAGAGGGCCTTCATATATGACAATGAATGTTTGAGCTCGATTGTGGGATTCTTCAGGCCATTGGTTGGTTTTTGAACTCGACTTGTCTGTTGACTCCGCAGTTCTTTCGTTCTTCCTCCTTCAGGAAGTTCCGATCTCGGTCCGGTGCTTTGACGATCTCGGTGTCGGTCTTGCCCTTGATCGCGTGCTCTTTGAAGAACTCCTGGATACTGTCCTCGCACGACCCGGGATCCGAGAGAGCGGGATCCGAACGAGCCACGCGTTCGTTGAGTGAACGAGCTCACGGTCCACCCGGATGGAACCAGGCAATCGGTCGGTAGAAACCAAACAGTTTCAACCTGGAAATTAAGAAGTTGAAAAATATAAATATCAAAAACAATTGAAAGAACTATATACTTATCTATACTTCAACAACCAGGAGTGCATCCCACCTCGGCATGTTCTAACAGCACCAAAAAGACCTCCTAAAATGTCCCAACACTCATCTGTCGCAGTCCTCATCTGTCGCAGTCGAGGGCAAGCCCTGGCGCATCCGTCAGGGTGATTCCGAATCTTCAAACCAGGAGAGGTACACATCATAATCACGGCAATTGAAGAAAGGGTGTGCATCATTCTCGGTGCACATCATTGATTCCAAGACTCGTGCAGGTGACGAGTCTAAGAGGTCTGGGACGTGTAGGGACGTGTCAACATCCCTGATCCACTCTGGCTGTCCAACCGGCATCTTCGGGTAACCGGGCACAACATGCTGACTGCGCACCTGACCCCACATACACACACACACCGGAATTGCCCAACGGGCAAGCTAGGGGATCTGAGAGCGTTCAAGTGGGGGACTGGTCTTGGTGGGTCTTCCCCTTAAGGGTTTCTGTTGTAGTTTTAAAAAAGAAACCAAGGGTGAAAACTCATGTTCCTGACCAGGTTAGTATCGGCAACAGGATTGTTGCCTTCACCAGGCAAAACTGGTTGGGTTTTGGCTCCCACCCACCTCACCCCGCCAAAACCAAGCGGGGGGGACGGCGTGAAAACAAAGAGAACCGGTGTCCGTTGGGTCGAACGGGGAGGGCGAGCTGCTTTTGGTCCTGAGTTTGTAGGGTGGACGGTTGTTTCTTCTTTTGGTGCCACGCAAACGCGGTGAGATCCCACACAAAACTCTCAAAATGATTGGAAAGGAGCACCCACAGCAAAGAGATGCCGCGCTTCTCTCGTGAGCTTCAGCTGTGTCCCCTGGGGCCGACGAGCGCGAGCGGCCCCTCTCCGCCTCCCGCGCGGCGCCTCCCGCGTCCGCGCGGAGGAAGCTTCGCCCGCCTTCACCATGATGGCGAAGTCGTTGGGCGAGACGGTGCCAGCATCCACCTTGTGGTCTGTGAGCACCTGGCGTCAGCAGTACTTAGATCCAATCCTCTCTTGTGCAAATGGGATCGTCCAAGCATGCCGCCATGTTCCCCAAGAAGAAGTAGTAGCTGCTGCCGGTCCAGGCTTCTACAAGTTTCAAGGCCAGCTGGTTGTATGTTATTCCTACCTGCAGAGTGATTCATGGTGCAAGGTGCATGAAGGGGTCCCAGCATCCCCATGAAGAAGAAACGCCTAAATAATCTAGACTCAGAAGTCGCCTGCAGGAGACTATTCCGGAGCTAAACAGGGAAAAAATGACCAGATGCGAGAGATTGTCAAGATGACTCGTTCTCCCAACTCCCCAATCAAACACGGATACGGAGACTCCAGTCCCGCGCCATGCTGGCGAGCCCACCAAGCTTTTTGGTTCACAAGAACTACAAGGGCAACAAACCACAAATTCCTCATTCACAAAAATCCCAGCTGCACTAATCTATGTGCCAGTACATCTCGATACCCCACCCCTGCTTCTCCCATCAAGTCCTCTCCATCTTGGACCATCCTCCATCCTCCAACATTCCAGGCCTGGCTACTATACGCCATGAGGATCAGCACGCACATGCTGATCACGCACACCTCAAAAACGCGGTCTGACACCAAAAAAGGTGTGGCGGAGTGACAGAGTATGACCGCAGACGAAGCCCAGGTGTGGCCCTTTGAAAGGAAATGCCGAACCTTGACATGGGACCTTAGGAGGAGAAGCGACAGCCCTCATCTGTCAACACCTTCGTCACCCCCCATCTATCTAGGACCAAGCGGTTGGCAAAGGGGAACTCTTCTAATTCATCGGTCATGCACCTGCTGAAGGAGTGGCGACCTCGGAACAAAACAGATATCTACCCGTTCGCGGGATGTTTGTACCCTACTCCCCTCGCCAGCCCAACTGGCGGCTAGACTCGAGGATTCAAACATCCAGCATCTTTCGCTGCAGTGTTCGTTGCGGTGCCTGTCAGTGCCTGCAAGCCACCCGGTTCGAGGAGAAGCCCGTTCCGATTGAACTCGACCGTTTTTCCGTTCTGGAGCATGACTCCCTGCAACTAAGGGGCGGTGTACATGGTTGGAATGATGACATTCGTCGCCTGTGCAGCAGGATCTGCGCTCATGCCAGGCACTCCCCCGCAGAAAGTGTACGCATTGCCATGGCATGCTGTTGGTGTTGTGCGGCATCCGTCGCCTTTTGTTCAAACACTGAAGGCAACAAAATTATGAATGCAACATAATGCAGCACTCACAACATGGTGGCCCCAAGCGGTATATTATGGAATTGAAAATGACATTCCTTCAAATCAACATGTCGGCCCCACTGCGCATAGATTTACTTGAGTCACTTGAACCTTCTATTCAACAGCCCCGCCATTAGGTTTGCTACAACTAGCTCAAGGTCATTTCACCGTTCTACACCTGCAAACGAACCTAGGACCTGAAATGAACCTTCGAACACGAACGGCCTCTACATCTTGCTTTGCGCAGCGGTTTCTCCATGTTTCCTCTTCTATGCCTGTTGGGCTCAACGAAAAGGTGGTCCGCTCACTGGCCACGCCTCGTCCGGGCCTAAATTGCCCGGTGACATCCACTGTGTGCCGATCCAGGTGCTGCCCTGGGCGCTTTTGCATGTGAGGCAGGCGAGGGATGCGATGGGAGGGAGATGGCCAGATCAAGCGTCAACTGGATCCCGCACATCTGGTGGTCAAGGCCGGATGCCATCCATCGAACTCAACCGGAGCCTAGGGGGGGGCTCACGACTCGACTCCACGACTCTTTTTTGCCCGTTATAAAAACAGGGAAGCATCACACCATCACGCCCTTTTGGATCGTTTGACTTTGGGGGTCTGATTTCAAACACCCCAACCCATCCCCTTCTCCATCCCCCAACCCATCCGGCCTCATCACTGGCAAGATCAGATCCGCTGTAAGCCGTATTCCCGGAGCGGAAGTCCGCCTGTCGCATGCCCGGTGAGCTGCCGCTGTTGCTGTGCTGGTTGTGGGTGGCCTTTGAGTTCAAGTTCCCCGTACATAAAAACGGGAAATCCCGGATGATACGTGGCCAAGGTTCGCGGAAAAACAGTAAAGTCGCAAAAGGGTAAAAGGATGTAAAATGTATAGTCCTGGGGGAGGCCAAAGCGACACCCTTAAACTTGAAACGGCAAAAATTGATCAAAACGGCAGTACCGTTCGCGCACACCAAAGCGTGAAAAAAAAATGACGGAAACAAGTGGGTCGGACAATGGACCACTCCGGCAGGCTGCCTTCATCGTGTAAACTGGATCTCTATGTAAATGCTGTTGCCATATGAGGACATCATCCCATCACTCTTTTCTGAACTTTTCATGGTGGTTCCCTCATCTGCATCGACCGTCTGCTCAAACATACTGTTCGTGACTTAAACCAGCGTAGGCAAGACCAGCCCACATGGTTGCTCTCATAAGTGGCCTCATAAGTGTTTCAATGTGCAAAGCCAGTCTTCCACTCTGCTCAAACGCACTCACCTAACCTTAACCTCTGGTGGCCTCGTACGTCATGCACGATCCGCGCCTCGCACATCGCAATGATCGTGGCATTCTGGGTGCAGGAGCTATAGGACTGGCGACAGGGAACTGTTGGACCGAGGTGCGAGGTGCTTGATGGCGGTAGGCAGTAGGTGCATGGGATCAGCCGCGTTGATCTCCGGAGAACGAGAATCGATGAGGTATGCGCAACAAAAACACACAAACACATGTTCAAAGCCTGAATTATACAGGTTTTTTTATCAGCTGCCTTCAGCTCAGTCGTCTGTCTCGTAGAGACCCGGAGATTCACCAAGTCTTGAAAAAACTCAGTAGCTGTTCACTCCAAACAGACGAAGACGGATGGCCAGCGCGTTCGGACTGCAATGGCCTTCACCACCCAGCCACTTCCATCTTGGATGTACTGGTTCACCATGGAGGCGCTCACATCCATGTCAGTCTTGGGGCAGTACCTGGGGGCGCCCGCCCGTGCGGTCTGGCCGGGCCGGCTCAACACCGACACCGCCTGATTCGCTCCTCGTGACCTCGCGACCGGTCGCTCCCTGGCACGGAAGGAAAACCCTCGGCGACGGAACCTGCAGGCTCTTGAGCCCAAGGTGTCACTCTCAAGCAGGGCCAGCGGCCAAAAAATGAAAGGAGCGGCCTCCCCCAGGGGTCAAGGGGTGTCCACCACTTCACTTCTTGGGGGTGGCCCAAAGCTGCCACATGTGCAAAATTTGCCCTGCCCTGCTCTGTGCACTACGTTCGAAAAGGGTGCTAGATTCTCGCGGAGGAGGTGCAGTACGTCTGCGTGGATGGGGGAAGACATGGAATGGCTGCAAGAGAGATGCCTTCCAGTTCTCAAATCTTCAAAATTCCATCAAATTCCCACTGATTCACTTGTTCAATGAAAAATATCCTGATATCCGCAGCATATCAAAACCACTGAAGCCACTTGTAGCGCAGCCAAGCTGCTTGCCAGCATAGCACCAGCTCTGACAGAGCCATTTCCCCGGGGTTGTGAAGGCGCCTAAGATGGATCTTTCAAATTCAAGGCACTCAGCCAATTCCACGGAAACGCATCCCCACAGTTCATGGATAGTCTTTCCTGCACCACTTTGGATGAACCAAAGCCAGCTGCTGTTGCAGGCTTTCGTCTATGTCAACAGTGTTTATGGGTTCCATTGATTGCCAAATTGGGCACAACTAAGACCCGCTAGCGAGAAAAACGCCGATCGCTGCTCCGTGTATTTCGTGCTCTATCAAGCACACAATCTTGCCAACTGATTTTGTCTTCTCCTTTGATGAAGGAGCAGAATTTGGTTGACATTCCATCAACGTTTGCAATGGATTCGAACTATATAACAACCTGTTTTCTACTCACAACTTGTTTTCTACTCTGTTTGAAACTACATTTTGACCCCAAAGGTTGCACACTTCAATTGACCCCTGAGCTTGCAGCGCCTCAAAAATTCAATAAAAAAAAGGACCCCGGCAGGTGCTCGGAAACGATCTTCGCTGCCGAAAACTTTTATAGCGTCCTTTGTCTTCGTCGTTTTGGCCCAGGCCGACGCCGACGTGCACGTCCGTCCGTCTGCCCGTCCGTCGTGGGACTACGAGGGGCATTCGCTCTGGTTGGTGCACAGGTCGTAGTCCCAGGTTCCGCAGGTGGCCTCCCACGTGTCTTCCGCTGGTGGAGCCCCAAAAACGCTGACCCACTTTGGCCCACAAAAGGCCCGAAATGGCCCCGAACCCACGTGGCGCCTGCCACGGCGTCCGAGGGCTTGGGGGGCCTTTCTGATTTCAGACGCCCCTGGTGGAGCTGGAAGGTTGAGAATTGAGACGACCATGTCTATGGCTCAACCTTAGCCTTGCCGCTTTTTGGGCGCCGGTGGACCGGCCGGACCAGGCCGGCTGGCTTACGGGCCAGGAATCGACGAAAAAAAACCGGACGAAGACATCCAAAGCCACCAGCTGGCTGGAACCTACAAAAGTCCTAAAAAAGACCGAAATGCAAATGAGCGGGGCTTACAGCTTACAGCTTGCATGCTAAGAGAAACTTGTGCTCTTCACTGCATGGTGTGGATCTCAGCTCCTCCCTCACCAGGCGCTGCGTGGGAATGCGCTGTGGACCCCGGCAGCATATCCCGACGAGTTCCCAACACCTCAGACAAAAGGCTCAAGGAAACCACAAGGATATGATATGGGCTCACCAGGTTTTAATGTGGTGTCCACAGTTCCTTGCAGTTTCCCAACATTTCCCAACATTTGCCAACACCCCAAACAGTGGATGCGGGCTGGAAACCACCAGGAAAACAGGCAGGAAATGGGCCTCCACTCACTCGGGCCGACTAGAAAGAAAAGCTCGTCCACACTTCCCAGTATATAAATTATAGATGTCCATTGACACACTTGTAGCATCTTGTAGCCGTCATTGGAAAAGGCGGGGGGGATACTACATGCGTCTGGCGCGGAAGCAAGCAAAGAAGGGCCCATCTGCTCACCTTTCCTGCTGAGGCACAATCACACCGGGTACTGTCCGTGCCATATGCCTGGGACGCCCGTGAAAGACGGACGGAGTCCCTCGAATCGGCGCCGACGGCGCGACCGAAGCTCGGAAACGTCCTCCGTGCCAACTGGAGCGGCGGTGGAGTCTATTTCGCACCAGCCAGGCACGCCAGCCAGGGGTAGACTTGTACCAAGGACCATTGTATACTGTGACAATCCTTCCCGAAAGCCTCCCAGCCCACACCAGCCTGCGTCCAATCGTTCCAGTACCAATCCTCGGCAGTTGCAGGTGCTGGGTGTTTCCAGTAAAATGGTCTCAACAGGTGATGGCCAAGGCCGGCCTCAAATCCGGCATCCCAAAAGGTGGTGTTTTCGGTTTTGATTGTTCAAGGAAACTCCGGCAAATTCATCTGAAGCAACCGAGATGACCAATCCACGGGCCCCGTATCTCATGTGGAGCTATGTATCTCTGGGTCCACGGCAAACGCTCCGTTCGACGTTCCTCCGTTCGACGTTCCTAATTCCAAGGCACTACCAGGTTGCTGGATCCGGAGTACACCACCATGCACGGCACCTGACATCCGCACCATGCAGGGCTGCCACTCATGGCATGTTGGGTATCAAAAGTCTTCATGCTCTCATCGGCTCGATAAGGAGAGTAGTGTGTCTTGAGTTGCCTCATCTATCACCGAAAATCTCTACCCCAACGACCAATCCCCCGCCTACCGGCGTCTGCAACATGAACACCAAAACGAGCATGAAGAACTTAAGCCTTAACCAAAGGTTCTACGGTGTAATGTTTTTCTTGGAGAGGAATCAAGTCGTTGGGGGGGAAAAAAAGGTTTTGAAGACCTTCCTTCGAACCACCTCGCTGTCTTTCAAACGTTGGACCAGTCAGTGCTCCACCTCGCTTTCCCTGCCTGCAAACATAGATGAACAAAGAAAATGATCATGAGGAAGCCCAGAAACTGGAAGTAGAGGACCTGAGCATCTCTGAGCTCATTCGGGTCCGAACCGCACAGGTCGTTGCATCGGTGAAAAGCGGTTTTCAGCGCGGGCAACTTGCGTGCTCAGGCTACCTCGAGTGAAGGGACAAACAGTGAAAACAGGGACAATGTGGAAACGCAAAACTAATTGTCTTTCCATTGTAAATAACGAAGACAGGACATTATACATTGCATTACATTATTCGTTTTAGTCTTAGTACATTGTGCCTTTCTCGGATCTATTGTGCGAGTCTCTTTGATGATATTGCGCTGATTGATTTGCTGTACCGGTGCCGATCTGATGTTCCTATCTGATTGCAAGATTCCTTTTGCTTGGTTATTTGCAGCTTTTGAAATGGAAGTGTGGGTAGCAGTAGATAGATCGTGTATGGTTTGTCTCAAAATGGGAGACGCACCGGGCACAGTTGGTTGGTGAGTGACTTTAGTGTTGGTTGTTTCTTTGTGGTTGATGGGGACTTCCTGTCCAATGCAAGTGTTGCTGTTTGTTAGATATACCCAGCTTTTTGTCTACACCATTGACATGGTCTTCAGCCCTGACAGGTCTCTGAAGTTCAGCTTTGGCAAATCGGAGACACTAGTCGACTTATATCTATATATATATATGTAAATCATCGCTCGCTTTGCAAACATTCCTCCATGTGCACAGAACCTTAATTCCCAATTAGCATAATATGTACATATATATATATATATGTAATATGTCTGTATATATAATAGGTATATATATAATATATATGCCTGTTAACCAATAATGAATAAAGCAATTGATGGTACATGAATTGCCCACTTCTCCCCCTGCTTAACAGGCATCCTCTCCCACCCACCCCGGTCCGGTCGTCTCTCGTGGATCCCCAGGCATATCCGCTGCCCAGCTCCGCGAACTCGATGGGCCAACAGGTCCTCAGGTACCGGTCTCCCCGGTCGTCCAACCAGTGCCGGTCACCCGGTCCAACCACAGCAGTTCCAACGGAGGCGCTCGGGAAGTTTGCGCTGAACATGAACATGTCCACGTGCCGGTGTCCAAGTGCGCCCCAGCGGGGCGCACGATTGGGATTCAGGGCAGTGATGGGGGCCCCCACAAAGGGCGCCCTTTCTGTTTACCACGTTGCATACTGGTTCAAGTCTGAGATGTCTGCAATGTCTCCACAAACGAAGGGAGAGTTCCATCTTGGAAGCATCCAGGGATGGAAAAAGGATGGAGTGAGGGAGTGCGGAACAGGAACTCGAGACTCGATGACCTGGCCCCAGAACGAGCACTCAAGTGACTCCCCCCCGTGCTGCCGTGCACAGCGCCAGTTATGCTATCCCTACCCAACCCATTGAGCTGGCCGGACTTCTTGAACTTCGGGCACTGCTTGCTGAACTGATGGAAGTCCTCGCAGGAAAGGAAAGTGGATTGTTCTTGAAAGGGAGACCCCTGTGCAAACTGAACATGAACTGAAACCCGAAAAATTGGGGGTTCCTTTCTAATACACGTCCAGCTGGGCTTAACTGGGATACAAAGGATTCGCCAAAATCTTCCAGGGTTTCACTTTCAGGCTCTATCCCTAAGCATAAACCCAGAAGGATGTGAAGTAGAATTCCATTGACTTCCTAGATACCCATTAGAATTTAAGGTTTGCTCTTGGTTCTGGGACCCAGTACACCGTTCTCGAGGTCCTCCAAGGCCCCTCTAAATCATTCAACCTCAAGGTCCTCCAATTCCTTCCAATGCCCCAATCCGACCGCCATCCGACCCTGAAAACGACAGCGACCTCCGCTCCTTGAAACCTCGACTTTGCATCTCTTCCTGCACGGTCTTCCCATTCCTCGGAATTCAGAACTTCCCCCAGCTCCCTCGGATTCGCTCGGGCTCCCTCGTACAACCGCCCCCCCCTCGGCTGGTCATGGCGCTCAGGTACCCACCGCGCTTCCAACCACCCCCCCTGGCGCGGAGCATCCGTGTTCGGCCTCCCCGGCAGATGTTCGGGGCGGTCAAACGAGGCCGGCTTTCGCCGGCGCTCGGAGTTCGGCGCTCGAAGTGGTGCAGGGCTCGGTTTTTTGCCGTCGAACGGTTGGTCTGCCAGTCCGTCGTGTCTGGTTTTGATGCTCCAAAGAAGTCAAGACCTTTGAACTGCACGCCTGAGATGGTTCGACTCTTGAACGCCAACCCCATGGATGCTTGAACCGAAACGAGTAACCTCCCAATTTCTATGGTTTTGATCTTCTGCACCCAGCAGTTATTTGGGATATGTTTGGGTCCAATGCCTCCACCAAAGAACCACCACCCTAAAAATGGAACACCAAGAGTCCTCTAAATGGATTCCGAACAATTCTGGTCCCTTCCCTTGCTTCTGCCACAGCTAAGGCGGTTCCCCCCGGGTGTGGCCTCTGTGTGGCCGCATCCAATGCCAATTCTTCGGGTGAGGAAGGTTGCACGCTCACTACAACCCGCTAACCTCCCAGGCAATTCTCATCCCAAAACAATACAGTACAGACTTTACAGTAGTGTGTGTTCTCATCGTTATTCGGTCTGCCCAATGCACTCAAATGCATGCTTTAGACCCAGACCCAGACCATGTTGCCCAAATTTGCCTCGTTACAGGTTGTAGTTGCCTAAATGGGAAAGGAGCATGTCTGTGCCCAACCACATGGGCCTAGGAGCGCAGCAATGCATGTGTGTCACAAGGAGAGGGAGACCCAATCCATCCAATCCCAAACAGGTTTGGGTCCCACATCACGAAAACTCCTGGTTCATTCTGGGCACTTCACTGCCTTCACTGGTGTCGCCCACCAAGCCGTTCATCTCCCCATCTGGGCTCCCCCTACTTCACAGCCGAGACCGCAATGTCATCGTATTCCTTCTGGATACACTTCACACCGCAGTCCTCCACGCCGCACCCACACACTGCCGTGGTCACACACTTATCGCGCTCGACGACGTTTCGGCGTCCGGGTCCGCCACCAGGTGCGGTCAAAATGGTGTTCTGATTTGAGCTTTGTCATTTCAATTAGCTTTAAGATGCTTTAAGATACTACTTTAAGATCTTTAAGATGTTTCTCAGCCTTGTTTGGGGGGTGTTTTTTGACATACTTAATCTCCATCGAAGGGCAGAGATTCGACGAGGCGGAGGTACAAGTAAACAACATGCAACTTGGGAATTATCAGTACCTTCCAAAGCTTCGGTTTAGCATGGTTTAGCATACGTTAGCGAAGTTCCCAAAACGAAAGGAAGGCACTGAACGTGCCTTCCAAGTCCTTCCGAACGCATTATGGAAAGAATGTCTGGACCGTCCGATCGAAGGTCTTGGATACCTACCCTGGGACGACAACGAAGACGTGAAAACCAAACACCACACGCAACCGGTGACGCATCGTGAGTCATCGTTTTTTTGTGCGCCCCTTTTAAGGGGTGTCAACAAGCATGAAATGTGAGATACCATTCACCTCGAGTGGTTTCGTAGCGCTCCCTCTGTCCACCACGGCCCTTCTCCTTCGTCCACTGGGTGAAGTTCTCCTTGGTGATCAACTGCTTGGCCTTTTCCGTCGCTGCAAGCCGCGCTGCTTGTGGTGCGGAGCGCTCAGCGGAGCGCGTTTGGGGGGGCGGAAGAGCGGAAGTGTTTTCGGGGGCTTCATCGGTGGGTGAAAAGGCGGTGGAACAAAGAGTTGCTTCAGGGGACTCTTAGAAATGACTGGGCACGAATCGGCGTGATTTGGTTTTCAGGTCACGGTTGGGAGGCCCCATACACCTTATCAGCACCTCTGGCACAGCTCTGCATGTGGGGGCTGACTCTGCAAAAAGCACCCCCAGCGAAGAGAAGGAAAGAAAGCCAGCAGTTGTGGTCATGGTTTGTGTGCTTTGCATGTGCCCTCCCTGTGATTCCACCACACCAGAACACCGTCGGATGGTTTGTTGGCTCGGATGTCTACCCTGACTTCATGCAGTTGCCCCAAATCCAGCTGCTGGAAGGTAATCCTGCATGAGGACTCTTTCAGGGATGCCAGGCAGAGCAAGAGTAGGAGTAGGAGTAGGAGTAGGAGTGGGAGTGGGAGTAGGAGTAGTAGTGGTGGTGGTGGTAGAAGTAGAAGTAGAAGTAGAAGTAGTAGAAGTAGAAGTAGAAGTAGTAGTAGAAGTAGAAGTAGAAGTGGAAGTAGTAGTAGTAGTAGTAGTAGTAGTAGAAGTAGTAGAAGTAGAAGTAGTAGTAGTAGAAGTAGTAGTAGTAGAAGTAGAAGTAGAAGTAGTAGTAGTAGTAGTAGCAGTTGTTGTTGTTGTTGTTGAAGAAGTATGAAGCTCTTGACAGATTCGCTCACACCAGGTCACCGGATATCTCACAAGGGCTGAACTCTTCCCAAGGACCCGAAAAGAAAAAGAATAATTGGCCAACCCACATGTGCTCCTCTCACTCACGTCGTCTCGGGCCTCTCCCATCGCCAGAAGCTTTCGTCTGGCTAGGCTTTGCTAGAAGAGCCCGCCAAGCTGCGGAGAGGCTAACCGATCGAGCCAGGAACATCACGAACCAGGTCTTCGTCGGATCAGAGTCGCCTGGAGACCCAAAGACCCGAAGACGACTGCCTAACCCCCTGCAAAGGAAAAGCGCTAGGCGCTAGGTCGCTAGGTCTGGCCCGGCCCTCCCTGTCAAGGAAGCGCGCTGGATTTTTGGTGCCTCCAATCAAGGCAACTGCAAGCAACTGAGTCGCACCAATCAGGGCTTTTGCCAACTTGGTGCTGGCCTTTCGCTTGGATGTGGCAGGGGCAAGCTTGCCACACCCTTCTACTTGCTCGAAATTGTATGACTCGTCCACTGCCGCTGGCTACATGATCTTTCTCTATCTTTCTCTCCATCAGCGATGGAACAGTCATCTAAACCACCAGCGCTTCACTTGACTCACTCATGGACTTCTTGCCCAGTTTGCCGTACACCTCGGCTCGTGTGACACGTTGGCTGGAGAGAAAAGGAAAGAAAAACCGTGACTCGTTTTGGACCGTCCCAGCTGTGACTCGGGCGCTTTGGGGGGGATGAGAGACGTTACGTTTGTGTTGAGGGACCCCTTGGACCCCTGGGACCTCCAACTTCTCAAGAAGGCGTTTCTGAGGCGGTGGAATGAACATCCAACTCTGCAAGATTCTTTTCGGTGCGAATGTCCGTGAATTCTTTCTCTGGAAAACCACCACAAATCCTCCCAAACACTGGAACACAACATGTTCATCCATTCTTTGCAAAACAAAAGAGCCAGTCGTGGCAAACATTTGTCTGGAGGTTTGGATTGTATGTCTTAGATGTGCAGTTGTTGGCGTTGTTTTTTCTAGGTGTTCACATAAGTTGGCCAACATGCTTTCCTAGAGGTGTCGGATTCATTTGCAAGAGTTTGGACAAACATAGCATATCGTATGTAACATGTTAATCGAAAGCCTTCGTGGTTTGCTCAATTCTACCATTGTATATATATATATATTATATAGTTATTTATTTATATACAGTACTCTTTTTACAAGAGTGCAAAAATCAAAACTCATCATACCCTTGTCGTACCCCCAGGAAACAGGCTGGATGGGATGATCAACGTTGTCCATAGGATTGGTAACTTGTTAGATCTTGTTAGATGATCCTGTCAACCACGTCTTGTGTCTACTCCAATCCGGATGATCACGCACCGAACACAGGAATCCTTCTGAGGCCTGGCTGTGGAATTCCCTTCCCAAACGATCCAACACCAGCATAGATTCCGAAGGTTCATCCCGACCACTTCTGTCAGGGCCGTTCATGTTTGCTAGACCACTGCCTCGTCTTCCATTCTCAGAAAAGGATCATCCCCAAGTCTTCCCAAGTGTGGTGCGGCATGCTGACACTGGGCATGGCAATGAAATCCGAGCGACAAAGTCACTGACCATCTGCAAGGCCACCTTGGGCTGATCCATGGGCACCATGTGGCCCGCCTGCCACGCCGGTGCCGCCACAGCTCGTCGGAAGGCTCAGGACTGGAGGGACACCAAAAAAGCGATGCAGCGGGGAGCTCGGGAGCTCCGAAGGTGTCTTTTTTTGTGGAAGACTCTACAACCCTTCATCCATTGCCACAAGGGTACCTTCTGAAATCCATCCGAAACCCGTGTGTTGGGGCCTTCTGATGCTCTGAACTCCGAGGTGTTCCCCCCAACCCACTCGGCGGGTCCTTTCGTGACGTTCTTCGCCGAAGGCTCGAAAGGCGCCTCGAAGACTTGCATGAAGTTCAAGCCATTGGACGAGCGGAGCTTGGCCACCTGGGAAGAAGAACACGCGGGTTTTCGAACCGTCTCAGCCTGACACCTAGTGGTACCCACCCACCCAGCCTTACAATTCCAAGGCCATTGGCATCGTGCTTAACCCTTGAACCATCTTGAACCCTTGCATCTTTGCCACCAGCCCCAAGACCACCTCGCCTGAGAGAGCACACAAGTCCGGAGTCCCCCACCTCCCACCGATCTCGACTCTTGGCCTTGGCGCGGTCCGCGCCCTTGCCACCTCCCCACACCTCCGCTTCCGGCTCCACGCCACGGCCTCCGCGTCTGGGCCGCCCGCACCGTGCGACCATCCAGCTTCCAGTCCTCGTCTGGCGCCTGGCGGAACTCCGCCGCATGCGCCCAGTCCAGCTTCGTCGTCCAGGCCTTGCGGGGTGACAGAACGGCCACGGGGGCGGGGGAGGAGTGAAGAGATGGGACCTGTTTTAAGGGATGGGACCCCATTCAGACTTGCCCTGGCAAAGCATCGGACTTGTGCCTTTTGAGCACGGCTTCAAGATCTTCTTTCGCCCTTTTTTCAGCTGTTCTAGAACGCAAAGTATAGGTCCTGGCAGCTGCTGGCTAGCTTTGGCAACCTTACCAAAAGAGATATGCACGATAACAGCTTGCTTGAGACGCACTTCCTTGCGTTTCGGGCCGACGCCTTGTTTCCAAGCCAATTGCAGATGTAGTCCACATCGCCTGCCAATCTTGAAGACTCTTGCAACGACTGCAACACCTCTGAACCCCCATGAAACCCCGACTCATGACTCAGTGCCTGTTTTCCTACCAAAAAAACGGCAGCTTAAGGTTTCGGTATTGGTATGTATTGGTGGAAGTAGTGGAGAGCTTGCAATGTCCTGAGAAAATGGAATGCACTTAAAGTCTTACCACTTACCACTGTCGAAAGTAAAGAATTGGCCCATAACGGCGTTGCTGTCCTACAGGATTGCCATGGCCGCTGCTTAAATAGTTCTGTCGCGCCCCAGGGGTCTTGCCTGATCTACAGCAAATGGCCCAATGGCAGTTTCATATACTTCTCTGGCACTCTAAATGACCAGGATCTGAGCCATTCTGTCTTCATCTGGCCTGCATAGATCAGCACATCAATGCCATCTGCCAGAAGATCCTTGAGAACTTGCATCTTCAGAATGGATCGATTGGGGGAGGGCACCCAACACCCCACAGAACCCACGAACCAGGAGATGATCTACGTTCATGGACCTCCTACCACCAGATCATGGGAATCATCATATCATCAGATCATCCACTATTTGGGTCTGGCCAAAAAGGAACCGGTACCAAAAAAGCGCCCGGTCGTCGGCGTCCGGGGACCCGGAAGAACCCCGGAGGATCCGGAACACCCGGGTTGGTAGGCCCACACCGCTGGCGAACGACGAAGCAAAAGCCAAGCCACTGTGATGAAGCAGGCAAAGAACGCCAAGAACTGCAGAGTTTAGTTTGGATATTTGATATGTATTGTTTGTTTTGTTAATTTTTTATGTGTATTTCTCACGCTTACCTCGCTGTATGCCGCCAAATGCGCCAAGTGACTGGCAAGAGATTCTGATAGCGGAGGAGCCAATCACCAGCAGCCACGAAGGAGAGATCCACGGCATAGTTGCAAGATCCCCATTTCTTTTGCACACCTAGCCTAGGTGAGATTCTGGATGACACGAGATATGGACCACTGCCTCACCTATCCAATTTCCATCTGGGCTTGGCCCTTGCTTACCTAAGGCCGCCACTGCGTTTGCACCTCGGGCTTGTTGAGGTATGTGCCAATCATGTCAAAGTCATAGCACAAACGGCCATGGGTGCACATCTTGCGCATGTCGTAGGGATTCTTGCCTGACCATCTTGCACAGAAGTTCTTAGTGGTGTGTCCATGTCAATCCGGCACTGAGGCACTGAGTGATTTCACCTGTTCGATTCGACCCTCACACTTCTCCCCGCAATCTGACCCCGCCATTGCCCCCTCCCCCGCCCCCGAGCGCGCTCCCCGATCGTGCCGGTGAGTTCGTAGGGCATGATCGCCATGAAGTTGCACGCGTCGTAGGCCGCAAAGCACGCCGAGGCGTTCACCACGCCCCCGCTGGTGGGGTCCGGGTCGACGCCTGGCTTCGGTGCCCCCGCTCCAAACAGAAGGGGAGGGTAGGTTGCTAGTGGCATTGGAGAATCTGCAGCAGAACCATCTGACTGGGAGTGAAGAGGATTTGTAGGAGAACCATGCGTCTGGGCTTTTTCAAGCCCTCGTTTGTTGAGAGTCGCTCTTAGACTTCTTCCAAGACGGCCACGACCACCGTCTCTATCCTTGAAGGCTCCGCAACACACGGTGGCTGCATCACCCCGAACCGCTGCCGGGCCTCGGTTGCAGGCCACGATGCCCAGCTCGCAGGCTGGCACCAGGCCCTTCCTGGGACGGCTCGAGGCGGACGCGCGACGGCTCCAACTGCTGATGAGCCACCTTGGGCATTCGGTCTTGGAGCTACCCAATAGGTACTCAGGGTTCCTACCTGGAAGTAAGATGTCTTTGGCTACTCAAGATCTACAATTCCGCCCTGCTATTCAGCTCTGGCTACTTACAGCAGGCTTTGGGCTGCTGATGGCTTATTCTTAAGCATTCGACTCTTGGCTCTCCTGCTTTCGACTCCGAGTTTTCGACTCTCCCACCGCCGTCCCGAGAGGACGGCGGTTGAAGGTTCAGCCCTTCACAGGTCGCAACCAGTGATTCATATGTTTCCCATGTTTTCCCCAAAGAGTTTAACTGTTGGGCTTCTGCGGCCTCGGGTCTTGTTTCAGCGCCCAAACCCTTCACTGTCCGGGTCTGGTGCTTAGCTTCCGAGCTGTCCGTGGTCGGAAGATGTCGGAAGCTAAAGCAAGCAATTCGACCGCTTCCAGAAATCCTTCCCTCGCTTCCGGGTCACACTCCGGACAACCTCCACCCCCTCGACGAAGCGTCATGATGTAGTAGTCCCCCTTGCTGATCACGTTCTGCGGCGCATGGCCACCCTCTTGCTGCCCACCGAAGTGGCCCATCTCCGGATACCACCTCAGACCATCGGCACGTGAACGTTACGTTCCGCGTGAACAGCGCGGGGCCGAGCTCAGAGTAAAGTGTCGCGGGATCAGAACCAACGGTCTGATCATTTGGGAAGTTGAATCCCTTTGCATGCTACCTGTTAATTCACACGTTTGGCTCTTCATAGGAGCCATCTGTGTTTCGTCTCCTTGCGAAACCCTGGTGCACATGTACCGTGCAACGATACTCTATGTGTGCGCGTCAATGTTCCAACATGGACAGATCGGGATGAAATGGCGGAGATGACCTTCGGAAGGATGATGTTTACAGTAGCTGAAGGCCTTTACCCAACTGATATTCTGTTGCTGCCTGTTGATGGTCGACAAACCCCAAAAATCAGAATGAATGAAGCTGGATGGCTCACCAGGGATTAGATGCCATACAAGATCAAAACTTTCACCCAAAAGGCACAGAGCACAAGCAGACTTCCCCCAGATCCTCACAAGGCCGATCCCTTCAGATTCTGGACCGGACCGGGGCACTTGTACTGCTCCAAGGGGTCGGTCAACCCATTCCCTGGGGCCGTCGGTCGGTCCGACCGGCGGAACGGCGGAACGGTGGCCGGCCGTGGGTGAAGCTTCCGGCGGCCCGGTGCCGGTTGTCACCGATCTACGCAAAGCTCCAAAAAGGGTTGTCCAAGGCTGAACTTGGTGATGTCATGATCCGACGGTGACCTCGCAGCCGGGACCTGGCATCATGGAGACTTCGGCCTCCGTGGAGAAACTCACGGAATGGAGCGGTGAGTTTAGTGTCCTTGCTCCTAGTAAATACCATCTTGAAGCAAGTCCACTTCAGGTGAACTCATCCGCCTTGAGGCGGAAGTCAAAGACGTCAATCTCTCCGATCCGTGATCCAGCGGGCTTTCAAGAGAGGCGGGCTTTCGAAAGCCCATCACCCTCAAACAAACCGAGACCGGGTCATGAATTTGGGACGTCCAAATCAACCTGTGATCAGCACCCAATTCATTCAAGGTGCCGATGGCAAGACCTTTCAAAGGGATCTTCTGTCCTTCCTCAGCCTGGCCCACAAGTGCTTAAACACATTGGCTTTTGGTGAGTCAAAAATGGGCTGAATTCACACGCTCTTTCCCTGAGTGCAAAATGTCGTGGGCCTTGTCTATGGGCTTTGCATGGCTTGCGTAAGCACCAACAAAAAGGAAAGCCAGCTTATGCGCAGCCTGGCCTTGTTCGCACTCCAAATCCGGTGGGTGATGGCTGGTACGTAGTGTCCTGCGCGGCCCAATGACCGCAGGGGAAGTGCAATTTCACATGGTGGCTGGTTTGAGTTCACGGGACAAATTGAGTTTAGGCGACTTTAGGGTGGTTTGTGTGGATTGAGTGGTCCCCGAAAAAAAAAAAAAAAAAAAAAAAACATGGGCTGGGCATTGAGAGTCACATGGTCGCTACCAAATTGTGCTATCTTTCTGTCCAAGAGGTCTTCGCCAAAAGTCTATCGCCAACGAGAGGCTGTTCTCCAAACGGGTGGGCGCTGGTAAAAGCATCGCCTGCGTAGGACTCACCGAAGATGTAGAAGTTCGTGTTCTGGTACTGCGGGAAGGCCGCAAAGAACTTCTGCAAGAACCTGACAAACAGAACAGCCACCCCCTGCACTGTCACAACGAAAAGCGACATGGGACGGCATACTAATTGTTGCGACGGCTTACTAGTTGCGAAACATCGCTGAAAGCGACAAACACGAGATTCTAGGAGCATCAATGCCTTTGTGACCCCATTCCCGCCACTTCATGAGATGGCATTTTTCTCGCCCACCCTGTTTGTTCCAATTCCGCAGGATTCACCCCCTATCTCGAACTATGTATTGTTTTGGCTGTGTTTTGTACACCAGAGTTTCAACGCACCAAGGTCATCAAGGTCAAACGATGCGCGCTCGGGCCGCTCGGGCGACATACCAATGGTGGAAAAATGGTGTGGGGACAGTTTTCCTGGACATGTCTTCGGCACGTTCGGCTGGGTATCCAAGCAGTGAGGGCAAAGTGATGATAGTTGGACAATCCGAGAATCTCGGAATTGCAAAAGGGCACTATTCTGATTCACTGATGTCGCTCTTTACAAGGAATCAGCCATGTTTCGCCACAAAGGGACCACTCAATACATGTTTGGTGGGCCTGGTCGTTCCAATATGTTCCAATCTACCTTCCTAACTTGAAATCACAGGGCCGACCTGAGCATTGTGCACATGCGAGATGACAGTGAACGAAAGTACGTAGCACAACTACGGAGATCTCGCCACACGAAAGTCTTCTCCCCCAACTGTTCAGGGAATTCATTTTCTCGGTGCTCAAGTCCTTCAGCAACTGGCTAACCGGTGCTCAGACCGAGCTACACTCGTTCAGACCGAGCTACACCAACATATTGTTGGCCACGCCCTTCTCATCATGAGTGCCAATTCTCGTAGAGAAGCCGACACCAGCAGGCTGGTCCACCCACATGACCTGCATGGGTTCATACATGGGACCGACCTGCAGGCAGGTCCCCATTCACCAGCCAAGAACCATGACATTCAGAATAGATGGTTCTGGGATCGAATCCATTCCCCTTTCAAACAAATGCGATTCTTTGCTGGTTTCTGGCCTGGACCAATAGATGGACCCCCCAGACCTTCCTCCCTCAATCATCATGGCATTGGTGATGCGTGTCTTTTTCGTTCGCCAGGCCAGGAACGAGTGAGCGAGGCCCGCAAGGGTTGAATTTTCTGCGGGTGTGGACAACGGCCAGCCCAGTGGCTGTTCGTTTGTCTACGACCCCCAAATTCCGGAATGGTCAAACGGTCGAACCATGCGCGTGTCTGCATGGGTATGTATGCCTCACAAAGGGGAGGCCCACAAGTACATTTGGCCAAAGGGACATCAATCAACACCCATCAAGTGATGGTCTCCGAGGTCTCCCAGTTCGAGACACTTGCTGCGTCACCAGGGACGTTTAGTGGAATTCGTTCTGATAAGAACGGGTTAGTCAGTTACTCCTCCCGCGTGTCGTGCTGTGGACCACAACACTTCAGCCGGGGTCACCACATCCACGCACGACGGCCGTTTGTCGACCAAGCAAGCGGCATTGGCTGCATAGTGCCAGGAAGCGGAATTCCTGTAGGTGAACTGACCTCGCGGTGCTCGAGTGCACCGACATGAAAACAACCGTTTTGCATGCGGATCGGGGCAGCATCGGTTTTACCGATACGACTGGGGGCAAACGATCGAGGTTTTCTGCAATGATGCCGATGAAGTGCTGCAAACCCCTTGGTTGCCTTTTCACGTTCCAAGCGAGCGAGCGAGCGAGCGAGCGAGCCAGCCAGCCAGCCAGCCAGCCAGCCAGCAAGCAAGCAAGCAAGCAAGCAAGCAACCACCCACCCACCCACCCAAACAAACCACCAACCAAGCCAGACACCAAGACATCTCCAAACATCTCCATACATCCACTGCAGACATCATCCCGAACTCTCTCATCCTTCCATCCTATCTTGCAACCCCCACTCCAGTCTGCCTATCCACCCAACTTCGCCACCCACCCTCGCCCCTGAATCCACTTCTTCCAAGCCGCCGTTCCGGGCCACCTTGCACGGCCCGTTCTCCGCGAAGAGGGCCAACTGCGACGAGCAGCCCGGGCCACCGGAGAGCCACATCACCAGCGGCGCGCTGGAGGGGTTCCTGAACGCCCAGAATCCGCGGCCACGGATTCAGATCCCCAGCACACAGAGAAAACCCGATGCTATGCCGAGGATCTGGTCTGGTCTGGTGCACACAGCACCAACACGGTGGCCAGGGCTGGGATGTGTTCCCCAAGATTGCTCCCAATGTCTATAAAAAGATTTGGAATGTGTGGCAGCTGCCACTCTATTCGACTCACTACTAGGGGACCTGCATGGAGGGTTCCAATTCCAACCTCATCCTAAGTCACGCCGAGTCAAAAACTCATCAACTTGCGCGTGGTGCACACTGCAAACCCGCAAACCAATCATGGGTGAATGGACATTTGCTAGATCTAGCCTTGTGCAAAAGAGCTTCCAGCAAAGGGAAACTGCCCATGATTCTAGCAAGACCTCTATTTCAAGTGGAGGCGATCTTCTAGTGTGAGAGAAAAGAAGACGACTTCCGTCTCAACAAAACTGGTGCTACCTCTGTCTCCGACAATCAGGCAGGGCCTCGACCCCCAAATCTACCCAGAGTCGTTTTGGATTCAAAGAGCCAGAAGAAATACTTGGTGACCTCAGATGCGCATAGGTACGTACTACATCACGTACAAATCTTGGGGTGAAAATACACCTTATTGTATTGAGCTGACCCCCCAGCAAACATGGAGGTGTATAGAACGGCCTTGGCTGACGTAAATGGCCTTTGTATAGAATCACTCTGGCTGACGTCTGTCTGCAACGTGTCGACACTCAAAATCTGGGCTTGGCGCATGTTTTTTTCTCTCGCGCTCATCTGGCTCTCTCGCGCTCTCCTTCATTCCAGAATGGATTCTACATGATTCTACCATATTTCACCACAGTCTTCCTCTATAAATTGGAGGGGCTTACCTTCAAGGGCCAGATTATATTCAAACTCGAACAGTTTTGCATCGTGTTACAATCCACTCCACCCAGGCTTCTCTATAAAATGGCACGAAGGACCCCCTTCACCAATTACAATTACATATGATTACGTTAGACTGCCAAAAACACGTCGAGAACACTACCTACTACTACTACTACTACCACTACTACTACTACTACTACTACTACTACTACTACTACTACTAACAACACCGCTACTAGGCCCAGGAACGTGAGCGTGATGTTCCTGTTGAGGGGCTCCGGTGAGCGGTAGGCGATGTGAAAAAGATAGAAAAAGGTTACATACCAAGACATTCTCTCAGGTCCCTCAGCCTACCTTCTCATACTTCTCAGGCTCCAGTGGGCTTGCTCGCACTTTTCTCTACTTGTGGCCCAGAGCGGGGTGGCGAAAGCTAGGCAAAGAAACAACGCTGGGGCTCTTTGGCAGGAAAGCCTGGCCGGGAATCACAACATGCTATGGCCAAGGGAAAAGGAGAGTGCCAACAGCGCCCCCCCAATACGACCCCAACACAGCCAACACATGGCAACACACAACCACCCCAGCAACGGCAGCAGCAGCAGCAGCAGCAGCTACCAAGCAGCAGCAGCAGCAGCAGCATCATCAGCAGCAGCCACCAAGCAGCAGCAGCTACCAAGCAGCAGCAGCAGCAGCTACCAAGCAGCAGCTACCAAGCAGCAGCAGCAGCAGCAACCAAGCAGCAGCAGCAGCAGCAGCAGCAGCTACCAAGCAGCAGCAGCAGCAGAAGCAGCAGCAGCAGCAGAAGCAGCTACCAAGCAGCAGCAGCATCAACAGCAGCTAGCAAGCAGCAGCAGGAGCGGCACCTGCAGCAGGCAGCAGGTACCCGGCAGCAGCAGCAGGTACAGTACCAAGCAGAAGCAGCAGCAGCAGCAGGAGCAGCTACCAAGCAGCAGCAGCAGGAGCAGCTACCAAGCAGCAGCAGCAGCAGCAGAAGCAGCAGCTACCAAGCAGCAGCAGCAGCAGCAGCAGCAGCAGCAGCTACCAAGCAGCAGCAGCAGAAGCAGCAGCGACCAAGCAGCAGCAGCAGCAGCTACCAAGCAGCAAGCAGCCAGCAGCAGCAGCAGCCAGCAGCCAGCAGCCAGCAGCCAGCAGCCAGCAGCCAGCAGCCAGCAGCAGCAGCCAGCAGCAGCAGCAGCAGCAGCAGGCACAGTACCAAGCAGAAGCAGCAGGTACAGTACCAAGCAGAAGCAGCAGGTACAGTACCAAGCAGCAGCAGCAGCAGCAGGTACAGTACCAAGCAGCAGCAGCAGCAGCAGCAGCAGCAGGTACAGTACCAAGCAGCAGCA